ATAGCAACAAACACATAAATAAAATTTATCCTAACAGCAAAATAAACTTCATACCCTAAATGTTATCCCAAGAAACAATACCCCCTGTGACATGTCCTCAAGAGTACCACAAATCATAAAACTAACTCTCACTCTAAATTGAACCACAGACTCCAGACTCCAGGGAAGTGTACCCCTACCTTCCCCCTACTGCCAGTAGAAACATTCTGTCCTAAAGTCAACCTGGCAAGAAAATTAAGTGTACCACTAATCATAGCTTATATTGAGCATCAGGAGGCAGAAACAATTTCATCATATATTAGGACTCATCAGATGTATGTAGCCAGATCTCTCTAAGGAGTTCAAACCTTCTGTTAGGAATTGAACTCACAGGGCATTGTACTTTAGACAACTATAAATAGTACATTTGCTTTAGGAGCTATCCAGGTTCTCAGTCGCATTGCAGGAAGGGATATCCAGTATAGAATCTATCAGAATGGAATACAACAATCCACCTTCCCTTAACATCTCAGCGCACAGAGATATAGATGTTACATTATTTTATGTCCTTATGTATGAAATTTTACATTACTTCCACACACACACCCCAGTTGGAGGAGTGAGGAGTCCCAATATAGGATAAAACTGGTCACATACTGCCTCCTGGTGGTCAATGTAAGTAACAATACCACATATACCACTGTATAAAAATAGTAAAATTTTGCCCCTCCAAGTGGTGCAGGGTGGAAGTCATATAAAACCTCATACACAGGGACATGACATAATCTAACATCTATGTCTCTCTGCTGTAAGAGATTAAGGGAAGATGGACTCTACATATGATTCTGAGAGACCCTATGTTTTCTGAAATTCTTTTGTTGCTGACTAATTTAGAATTTGCAGGATGGATATCAACGCAGGAGGACATTACGGGAGGTGCCAGGATCAAAACAAACAGCATCATGTTTATTTAAATTGTTTACAGCACCAGGACTTTGGGTCTTCTGGTTCCATCCCCTGCTCAATGCAGGAATCCTCAGCCCATTCCAGACAAATGGCCATCCAACCTTTGCTTGAAAACCTCCAGTGACAGAACACCCCAGCTCCAGAAGGCAGGTTGTTCTACTGTTTAATAGATCTCAAGCCAGGAAATCCCTCTGATTTTGAGTTTAGTCTCCCTTTGCAAAACTTCTACCCATTGGTTCTTGTCCTACTCTTGGGCAGGATGGAGAATAAATCTACATTGTCTTCGCTGTGATAGCCCTTCAAATATTGCAAGGCTGATATTGTGTCTTAGTCGTCTGTTCTTTATGCTAAATAGACCCAATTCCTTTAACCATTCCTTTAAGATTTAGCCTCCATGCCCCTCACCATCTTTGATGCTCTTCTTTGCACTCTATTTCCTCAGCAACCAGAACTGGACACACTGTTCCAGTTTGGTCTGACCAGTGCAGTGTAAAGTAGAATTATCATTTCCTGTATCACAACACATATGGCTCTATTGATACAACCAAGTTTGCATTAGATATTTTGGCAGCTGCAGTACATTACTGGCTCATGTGGTCCACCAGGATGCCTAGATCCTTCTCACAGATCTCTCTGCTAAGCTAGGTACCATACATCTTGTACCTGGACATCTGGTTTTTCCTACCTAAGTGCAGAACCTTACATTTCTTGCCATTGAACTACATATTGTTGCATAGGGCCCAATGTTCAAGTCTATCAAGCTCCTTTTGAACCTTGAGCCGTCTTCTGTGGTGTAGGCAATGCTCCCAGCTTTGTGTTATCTGCAGACTTAATGTCTTATATCCCCTCACCTAAGGTATTCATGAAAATATTGTATGGCACTTTTATTTCCCAAGTTTCAATAAAAAGCCAATAAGAAGACTTGAGATG